AAAGTGATAGTAATTATTTAGCTTTAAAATATTTTTATATCACAAAATTGCTTTACTCAATTTACGTTTTTATTACAAAGAATTATAAAGTAACAGTATAAAATAAATGATAAAATTTTATTTAAATAAAAAAAATTTTTACGTAAAAACACTTGGCGCTGCTTAGATCAAAAATGCAAAACTAATGATGAGATTATTTGAATGTTACAAGTAAAGGCAAAATTTATTATTTAATAAAAGGTAATTTTATAGTGATATCAGACATTTTGAAGTATTCCACTATACTTGACACCCTTTTTTTATCTTTTTTTAATTATTAATACTGTAAAACTATTAAGACTATAAAACTGTTAAGACTATAAGATTATATTAAGATGATCCTTATTGACTACTCAATATCGTTTTTTTATTATATGCCCTTTTTTTTGCAATTTTTTTAGAATCCCATATATTGCAGCACGTCGTCTAATTTGTTCTGTTATTATTTGCAAGACCGCATTACCGTATATTTCCGCTAGATGCTCGTCACACAAATTTATATTGCTCTCCATTCCAAGTACCAAACTGAAAATTATATAAATCACTTTCTTAATTTTTCAATCTCTTAAAAAAATAAATATTTCTCGATTATAATACACAAATTTTGTACTCACGAGATCTACAAATGCAGCATTGGTTAACTGTCAATAGTCCATATTTCAAATCCAATATCTGGATATTTCACACATGAAAACGTAGGAGACGTTAGCGGCGAGATATTGATATCTGGATTTTCCCGCGCTTTGATTTCAACTATTCTGATGAGAGTGGGAGAAATATTTGAATATCGAGAGACACGGTCGTGACTCGTCGCCAAGTGTAAGCGTCAGCGCTTCATAAACGCGAGACTGGTCGTATCTCTTTACGCGAGCCTGCGAATTGCTAAGTATCAAGATTATCGGATCTTAATAACGACTGAACCGATCAAGTTCTAGATCAATAGATGCAATCGATAGCTTGGATTTAAATTATATAATAAAAGTGTTTTTAATATTTTTTCTACGTATCCTGTGAGCGGATATTATAATTTTAAGTCCGATGCTATAGAAATTTATTTTTAAGGAACGTCGTTATTATTATCATCGTCGCCGTCCGTATAGACTAGGTTGCAATTTTCGCCACTACGAGGCAGTGACATTAGCGATCAATTTTTTGGAGTGATGTCGCATACGAGAGCGAACGAAACAGCGAAAGAGCGATACGAGAGCAAGCGAGACAACGAAAGAGCGATACGAGAGCCAGCGAGATAACGAAAGAGCGAGTGAGATGATGAAAGAGCGATACGAGAGCGAACGAGACATGAATTTTAATATTTAAAATGAATATATATTAATAATAATAATAAAATAAAATGAATACGGCTTGTGTAATGCGTAAGTTAATTCGCAAACGATCACTATTTCAAAAGACGTTATCGTAAAGTTAAAAATGTTGCATAGATATTGTAAAAAATGATTATTTTTATTCAAGAATCAGATGAAAAAGACCCACAAAATACTGGGTTTGCATAGGATTGGGTTTTGCATGGTTTTCAAAATATAAATAAGTTTTCCTGCTATGCAAATGCCGTTTTACAATGTTTATTGCATAAATGTTATCAAAAAGCATTTATTTAATTATCATAAGTTAGATATTTTAAAGATATTTTAAAGATATTTTATTTGGGCACTGATATGAACATGGAATGAATAATTTGAGTATCTATGATATACGACAATCTTTATAGGAGAATATTTTTGGGTGAGGTCCAATCGAACACATTGCCGATTGGTCGATTAAATAAAAAAATTTTTGATAGGTGGCTCGCTAGAAAATTCCTAGATATTGGTTGATGTGAGTAGTGTGTCTGATTGAAAATGTGTGCATCTGGGACACTCCCATATTTTTCGGTTCCTATTAAATGAGATGTATTCGAATTTCTTATTGCTCTTTGTACAAAATATGATTATCTCAAAAATCTAATACAGCAAATTATTTCTACTAGTCGATGCAAATCCTGTGGTTATACAAAAGTTACTATTGATAATAATTTATTTCTTTCTATTTCTATTAAAAATTTGAATAAAAAAGTTACAGTCTGAGTGATTTATTAAATACGTATATATTCACATTGGTATCAGTTATATGACAAATTATGTAAATGTTGTGGCAAAAATAATGTACTATTTAAAAATAAATTAACGTCGACAAAAGAAATACTTGTTATTTATCTAATTATTTTTTCATTAGAGAAAAATAAATTAATAAAGATACCACAGAAATTTAATTTATGTACTATACCAAATAACTAAAAATATAACTAAAATATTAATAGCTAAACAACAGTATAAAGTAATAAATGCTATAATGCTTTCATCATGATACAGATATTGAGAAAAGTCATTACACAAATGTGTGTAGAGAAAGAAAATCTTGGATTGAAATTGATGATGCGCAAGCAAGAAAAAGTCCAGAAGTGCTAAAGATATTTATATATTATTCTTACAAAAAGGTTTAAATAAAAATATATAATAAATAGCATAATATGAAAATAGATGCAGGTTTTAATATATATATTTATTTCAATAATATATTTTCAAATTTTCAAATTTTAAAATTTTTGTACAAAAGTTTTATTTTAAACTAAATTTGCTTATATTTCATTGCATATAAGTTATTTCTATATTATATATAATAAATTTATTAAGGGCAATCATAATTTTATAGTAAAGAACTGTGTCGTCTTTTATAATGTCTATCGATAGTGTTAATTTTATTTATATCTTATTTTTATTTGTAGAAGCTTTTACAGTTTCTCCATTTTTTTAATGTAGCACCGACATATACAGTTGTATAGAATTTATCATTATGTTATAATGTAATCATATAGC